TTTACCACCATTAATTTTTTATAGTCAATGTTATTGCCCATCTGCCTCTGTGTGTCAAAACTCAGCTCGCACCATATCCATCTCCTCCTGCCCCTGGCTGACCCCTACAGTGAAAAACACACACCCCTCAACGCCTCCTAACTAATCCATTGTTGGCTCTGCCGTGGTTACAAGGATTTCTTCCTTAGTCGATATCGCAACTTGGCATCTCACAAGCCACCTGACCAATTCAACTAGCGATATAAATACTTCATGGCGCACAGGCCCCCATTATACTCCCTATAAATCATCGGGCTCCTAGCTATATAGCTAGGCGGGACCATTTCCAGCTCAGGACACAGACCTAAACACAGTTGGAAATCCCAAACCATGCAAGCCGAATTTACTTATTCCCACAACAATGAGCGAACTTAATTTTTCCACGAAAAAATTAATTCTGAAAATTTACCAATTCATAACTTAATTAACGAACCAATGAAGGCCAAAGGACACACACGGCTCTTAAAATAAAAACTCTGTTACAAAAATGAAAAAAAAGCCCAATCATTTGTCAGTTAATTACAATTAACAAAATAATTCTAAACTTAAAACAATTGAATGCACTCAACACCATAGTCACAAAAACTTTCAACTCATTAATAGTGCATAGAAATCATAGTGGGAATACCCCATCACAAAATGCCGTCAGTCTTTCTTTTTCAAAACCATTTTCTATTGTGTTACGCAAATTCAGACCTCCATGTGGCCAAAAGACTGCCAGAAATATAAAATTTGGATGCATGCAGAAACATTAAGCATGCCAATCAAAATCAAACACTAAATTTCCGCACATGATCTAAACGTTTGTAAAAGGACAAAACAAACAAAATCAGTCTCTAACTAAAATGTTTCATGAAAATTGACAGTCCCAACAGTGTGTATGCGTGAGTGTGGGTGTTCTCTTTTCCTTCTTTCTTTTACCTGTTTGTCCTATTTTCTATTGTCTGTCTGTTGTAGAGTAGTTTTCACAGTGGAGGCTTGTATTTCACTAAGTCTGTCCTAAAAGAGTCCGACGTACAAAACGTTAGGAACTTGCAATAAGAGTTAATGACGCAGCAATCTAGTTGTGATGGTTGATACTTCAATGTCCGACATCGACTGACTCACTCAACACCACTGAGCCCCACTGGCGACCGCTACTACTACTACTACTTATTATGTGTGGGAGAGTCTATTAATAATAGAATAGGCACGTCGAGTAAACACTGTCCATCAAAAAATACAGTCAATGTTTATTTTTCTTCATTACTTTCTGTTTTGGTTTATTGATTAGATCTCGCTCTCTCCCTGTGTGTGTGTGTGTGTGTGTGTGTGTGTGTGTGTGGCAGTAGAACAAAGTAATGTCATCGTACTTACAGACTGTCCAATAAGTCTAGAATACTTTTTTTTTTTTTTTTTTTTAAATATTCCTTTTTTTTTGAGTCCCCCGTCGAAAATCTCCATACTTTTCCACGTTGTGTTTCAATCCTGGTTAACTTGCGGCCTTCCTTGTTGGAAGGAGCTGGTCACTGCGCCAAATAATGTATTCGTTGTATACCCACCCCTCTCTTCTGGGGAGGGGTCTTTTGTTTGACGGGGTCGATTCCACAACAAAGTTTCATTCTTCTCTCTCGGCCGGGTGATCGCTAGTTTTTGGTTCGGAGATGAAATGAGAACGTCATCAAAAGGGATTTTATTAACACGACGACGTGTACATATTCTAAATAGCCAATGGAGTCGCTCCACCCCTCTCCCCACTGGGGACCAGTTTCCGCACACGAGTTTAACACGCCTGCATTCTTCGACGCGTAAAACTGAACTCAATGAAAACACTTTCTAATATTTCCACGTTCGGCTCAGCCAATCAAAAGCGACACCTCTATTTTGTCTACCATCTGATTCCAAGGTCAGCCTCAGAAGGTCCGAGCCAAATACACTGCCACTAAAAAATAATAGTCTGAATCTATTATTTAACAGCCAGCTTTATAATAGGGAACTTGGGAAATTATTTATTTATATAATAGCCAACTGAGGAAATATTTTTTTTAATGTAAAAGCTCACTTACGAAATAATTATTATAGGAAATAGTTTTTTTTTATATAATAATATTCTTAGAAAATGATATCTTTATATAATAGCCAACATAGGAAATAATTAATTTTATAATACACAACTTAGGAAATAATTTTTTTCTATATAATAATATTCTGAGGAAATGATATTTTTATATAATAGCCAACGTAGGAAAGAATTAATTGTATAATACACAACTTACGAACTAATTTTTTTTTATATAATAATATTCTTAGGAAATGATATTTTTATATAATAGTCAACGTAGGAAATAATTACTTTTATAATAGACAACTTAGGAAATAATTTTTTTTTATATAATAATATTCTTAGGAAATGATATTTTTATATAATAGTCAACGTAGGAAATAATTACTTTTATAATAGACAACTTAGGAAATAATTTTTTTTTTATATAATAATATTCTTAGGAAATGATATTTTTATATAATAGCCAACTTAGGAAATAATTACTTTTATAATAGCCAACTTAGGAAATCATTTTTTTTTATATAATAATATTCTTAGGAAATGATATTTTTATATAATAGCTAACTTACAGTGCATTGACTCGTTAACATTAATATAATTCACTATTTTTTTGACATGAAATGCATTTTTCAATTTTTCATTATCGACCTTTCTTTTATTCGTTCTTTCTTTGTGTTATTCAGTTCTATTGATCTTTATTTATTTGCATTATTTATTTCTATCGATCCTCCTTTCTTTCTTTCCAATATGCAGTTTTATTGATTTTTCTTTCTTTCTTTCTTTCTTTCTTTCTTTGCATCAATCAATTCTATCGATCGTTTTTACGTGCTTTCTTTCTTTCCGTTGTATTGATTTTTTTATTCATTCATTCTTTCTTTCTTTCTTTCTTTCTTTCTTTCTTTGCTTCAATCAGTTCTATCGATAATTTTTACGTGCTTTCTTTCTTTCCGTTCTATTGATTTTTTTATTCATTCATTCATTCTTTCTTTCTTTCTTTCTTTCTTTCTTTCTTTCTTTTCGGTTGCTTTATTTCATTAACATGAATTTTTCTTTCATTACTTACATTTTTAACATTGAATGCAATTTTCGTTTTCTGTCTTTCTTAATTGCAGTCATCAACCTTCTTTCTTTATTTCTTTCTTTCTTTGCACTGTGCTCTCTTTACATTCTTTCTTTCTTTTCTTTTTAACATTTCTTTTTTTTTTTTTTTTCTTTCTTTTTTTGCAATATTCACCTCTTTCGATCTGTCGTACGTTCTTTGTTTCCTTCATTTTTGTTGTTTTTTTTCATTAAAATGAATTTTTGCTTATGTAATTATTTTTTAATATCAAATACCTTTTTTAACTTCTTTCTTTCTTTCCTTTTGTCTTATTTATTTCATTAGCAACATTTTTTCTTTATCTATTTATTTTTTTTTAAGATTGAATGCATTTTTCAGTTTCTTTTCTAGTTTTTTTCCTTCTTCCTGTCTTTGTTTTAGTCTGCTCGCTTCTTTCTTTCTTTCTTTCTTTCTTTCTTAATTAATTACAGTCATTTTGGTTCTAAAATAAATTAAATTCCTTTTTCTTTCTTTCTTTCTCTTCATTATTCTGTTCTAGGAAATGTTCATGAACTTTTCATTTATTACTTACCTTTTTACATCAAATGCACCTTTCTTTTTTTCTTTCTTTACTTCTTTCTTTCTTTTCGATTGCTTTATTTCATTAACATGAATTTTTCTTTCACTACTTACATTTTTCTGTCTTTCTTCATTGCAGTCACCTACCTTCTTTCTTTCTTTCTTTCTTTCTTTCTTTCTTTCTTTCTTTCTTTCTTTCTTTACACTTTGCTCCCTTTACATTCTTTTCTTTTTAATATTTCTTTCTTTTTTCTTTGTGTCTTTCTTTCTTTATACTCTGCTCCCTTTACATTCTTTCTTTCTTTCTTAATTAAGTTCATTATTTTATTTTACTTTTTATTACCCTTTCTTTCTTTCTTTCTTTCTTTCTTTTCGGTTGCTTTATTTCATTACATGAATTTTTTTCATTACTTACATTTTTAATATTGAATGCAATTTGCATTTTCTGTCTTCCTTAATTGCAGTCATCAACCTTCTTTCTTTCTTTCTTAATTACAGTCATTTACTTGTTTTCCTTTTTTCCCTTTCTTTTTTCATCTCCTTGTTTTCTTCATTTCATTAACACAATTTCTTTTCACTACATAGATTTTTAAAATTACATCTATTTTCTGTTCTTTCTTTAATTTTATTATATTTTGGGGGGTAATAATGGCTTGTTGATACAAGTTTTACCAATTAACGCATAGCTGGGGAGGAGAGGTGGATTATTACCTTTCCCGAAGTTATTTGTGCGTAAGGGAATATAACAAACCCGACCAGAATTGGAACTCGGCTCTCCGATTAACAATTCCGAGCCATTATCCACGTACATCCAAGCTTACGGTATCTGGTATTCCAAAGCGGTCACCGATCTAAGTACTGGCCAAGCTCGACGTTGCTTAACTTCTGTATTAAAAAGGAAAATAAAATAAATGATTGTGATTAACAAAGAAAGAGAGTACAAAAAAATAGTACTGTACTGATGCGGCATTCACCCTGGGCGGATTGAGCCGGCTTCTTCCTGTTATGAGAAGAAGATTCTTGGGATAAATTACAGAAGTAGGGTACCCAGGCCTACTCGGATAACGTTCTTGCTTGCCGCGGGGTTCCCACAGACGCAGAGACAGGAACGACCAGAAGCCGCCGGTTGCCGATGCAGACGCTCCTTGGATTTTCACCAGAGCCCTTGTTAGCCGGCGTGTGTGTCAGACCTGTCCGCCTTGGGTGGCCCTACCAGGAACGAAGTTCCGGGCGGCATAGCTCTGACACTACCGTTTACACCCCCCCACCGACTGTGAAGTAAGGGTTGGACTTTGGGGGCTTACAGTACCAGGTGTTCCCAAGCGGTCCCCAACTAAGTACTGACCTGGCTCTACGATGCTTAACTTCGGTGATCGTACGAGAACCAGTGTTTCAGCGTGATTTGACCGTAAGCATATATATATATAAATTATATATATATATATATATATATAAATTCGTCGAGTCTAGAAGAATCAACAGAATCCAGAAAGCACTAGATGGCCGTTTCGTCCTATTTTGGGACTCATCAGTAGTGTGCATCTACCACCCAGATTCGAATCTGGACCGTTTCGGGGGAAAGGAAAGTCGTGGCTCTTGGGGCACAATCCGTCGGGTTATGAATACTTGGATGAGATTCACCGTGGAATTTGTAAGTAGCGGCGCTATATCGAGTCTATTCAGTTTCTTCTTCGTCACCGAGGACCCTTGGTGCAGTTGATATGACGCTTGCGTTGTATCGAAACAGTCCGGGTTCGAAGTGGGTGCGCACTGCTGATGAGTCCCAAAATAGGCCGTCCGGTGCTTTCTACAGACTGTTGAGGATTCATCTCATCGATGAAGACTCGATATATATATATATATATATATATATATATATATATATATATATATATATATATATATATACACACACAAAATTTTGGAGATTTACGCAAATCATTATAGTAATTCATCGAGTCTAGACGAATCCTCAACACACACACACACACACACACACACACACACACACACACACACACATATATATATATATATTTAGTTTATGCAAACTTAGGTAATCCGTATTTCATAGAAAATACCCAAAACTCCACCGAATTTCAAATTAATTTCTTCCTAGATTGTTTAGACATTTAGATATTTATCAAACCGTAACCTTCCAAATATGCACGTTAAAGTAACGCGAATTAACAGCGTCTAAGAATTTGAATGAAACCTGTCGTGTAATTGATTGGGGTTGTTGTAGCTTCTTCCTTTAATGTCGGTCTTCCCATTCACCCCTTAGCCATCTATATCTATAGACGAGACGCGTTAAATTTGAGCAACATCTAGCCGACACACTGGGATTAAAAATAAGAAACTGAAATGATACATATGACATACTCATATCCTCTCTCCCATCTCACTCCCTCACTTCGTTAATTTTACGTAGACTTGATGAGGTCCGTCAAAAACGTGTGAATTTTCTTTTCATTTTTCATTTCAGCTTTTGGAAGTAAAGTCTGATGATCCAGAACCCTGTTAAAGGGGTTATGGTGAAATAACTTATTACATGGAATCTTAACGTGGTCTGTTTTTTATTCAAACATATTTCAAACGATTTTCTACTATATATATATATATTGTTTATGCGTTATTTTTTATAGATACAAATGCTCTGTTTATAATAAACAGTATTAACTACATTTACTGGCGTGAATGTTCGAGAAATTTCATAGAAAATATGTATTTCTTTGCAACTTAATGCAGTCGCCTCGTTTAAGAAAAGAATACAGTTCTCTTGCCATAGAAGAGAAAGCAGTTCTCTTGTCACGGAAGAGAATGAAGTTTCTATGCCCAATCATAGAATCGGGTGGATCTAGTGGGAAACGCTGTACCCGGTCCAGAGCTGAAAATGAAATTCTGACGATGAAAAAAAGCAGGAAGGAGAAGGAAAATAAAGAAAGGAAATAAACATATATAGAAAAAAAAAAAGATAAAAAAGAAGAGTTTCTGTTTAATTGTTGCAGGAGGACATGATTGCCGCTCGAATTCACGAAAGCAACGGATTTCTTGTGGTTTTTTTTTCGTTTCACACGCACAAAAGAAAAACAGGAACGCAAAAAGCGAAAAAAGAAACAAAGAAAAACAAGAATAAAACGAAGAATTCATAGACATTTTCTTGTTTATATGTTAGAATATATACTTAGATACTTACAAAAATACATAAGTAGATGCATATATGCACACATATATCTATTTACAAGCACATATATATATACACTTATATATATATATATATATATATATATATGTAGATAGATAGATAGATAGATATAGATAGACAGATACATGCAAAAATATATGTATGTATACATATTTACATATATAAGTAAATACATAGATGCATATATACACCATATATATGTATAGAGATAATATATATATATATATATATATATATATATATATATATATATATATATATATATAAAAATATATATACATATCGAATATATATACATATATGACTTTCTGTATATACAGAGACACACACACACATACGCACACACATATATATGCATTTATAGCACACACATACATAGGAATATTTAGACACTTATATATATATATATATATATATATATATGTGGGTGTGTGTGTGTGTGTGTGTAAAATACCTAAATATAAACAAACACACAAACACACACACACACATTTATATATATTAATGAGTATATGTATATGCACATATAGTCACTATATGTTTCTGCAAACATTCATTTATTTTCATTTTTGTATTTTTACATAAATATGTATATACATATGCACACATACGTATATACATACATGCATATATATATATATATATATATATATATATATATATATATATATATATAACATCACCCTTTTACATCTGGCCACCTAACTCCCCAGACTGTAATCGCGCTGATTATTATGTATGGGGCGCAGTTGAGTGAGAGAAAAACAAAACTCCTTTTAACACCAAAAATGAACTGAAGGCAAGGATTTTGAGAGCATTCAACAACTTAACCGAGCAAAGAGTCCAGAAGAGTTGCAGGAGATTCCGAAGTCGTCTCTGGGCCGTGCTTGAAGCCAATGGCGAGTTTACAGAAGAAATTTAGATATTTTTGTGGAGTTTTGGTAAATATATCTGTTAAAATAAGATGTCAGTGTCATTTTCATTTTTCCATCATTTAGACGACAATTTATCCATCGCATCCTGTCAGTCTGTATGCGCATGAATTAGTTTTATAACTGATGCACACATACAAAAATATATATCTATATTATGCACACACACACAGAGACACATACGCACACACACATATATACGTATACATGTGCGTGTGTTTCGCGACCCGACGTAACTAGAATAGAACAATTGGGGCACATGACTTGACCGAAAAAAGAGTTGAATATTCCTTTCAGCATCAAGTATATAAAATATTAAATAACAAGTTAGTCGTCCGGGTAACGTTGTGTTTGTGCTGTCTACGTAGTATACTTAGGTAGAAGTTTTTTTTTCTTTCAGTATGTACTACTAAACAGAACAGGCAAAAATATTTGCTGAACCTTTAGATAAGTTTAAATCCCCACTGCCTCGTTCTAATCAGATTTTAATTGACAATTCAACATTTCTTCTCCGTTCTAACTGTAAAAAAAAAGCGATTATAAATCTTGGGCTCCCTTTACATTAAAAGAAAGCAACCCGCTATTAATAAAAAGTGTTTTTCATCTCGGGCTGACGGGCTAAAATTGCCTTTAAACTGCTAAGCCATATTTACCACCTGACGCTAAATTCAATTCCAGTTATAATCTCTAAACACACCTTCGTTTCAAAGTTTAAATTGGCCATGCAAATGCCATATAAACCAAATATGGTTGAAAGTAAACGGAACTCGAATTACATTTCTGTAACTTCCTTTAATATACCAAAGAAATAAAGCAAAAAGCCTAAATAAACTTTGTTCTATTCAATAGAATATATATGTATGTATGTATGCATATATATATATATATATATATATATATATATATATATATATATATATATATATAAGGGAGGGATTAATTTCATATCCCTCCCTATACTCTACCATGTCTCTTTAACTATCCCTTTTACACTCTCTGTTAAATTACAAAAACTTACACTACCCATCAATTTTAATTTCATTTTTCGTTTCATTTCATTTTTGGAAGTGCTATCTGATGATCCGGTGTCCTTTAAAAAGGCTCTGGTGAAATAAATTATTATAATGGTACCTTAAAGTGGTCTGTTTTTCTTTTAAATATACTGACGACTGTGTCTAGGATGAAACAACTTGTCGCGTCTGAGTGTTGACTTCAATGTTCACTTATATATATATATATATATATATATGCAATTTTTTATATATATTATTTATACATTTTATATTGGAAAGCGCTCAATATCAGTGATAGAGCTAACATATATAGTTGGATTGGTGTGAGTTTGTGACCTTGGGTTTCACGTTATTTGCGATCGTCAATCAAACTGATTAATTTTTAAATTTTGGATTTATATTTATTATGGTTGCGTATATCGGTGTTTTTATGGCAGTGGGAAGAAAAATTGCCGTCCAAACGCCTCTCATGCATACGCAAGCATAGATACACGCACGTTCTCTCATTGACGTACGTAGACACACATACACACGCGCTCAATCACTGGGGCTCACACAAACATAGATGATAGGATTATGTAGTGAACATCTTTCATCAGTTTCGGTGTCATCGCGCACACCGTTCGTCTATTTTGTTCGCCGAATAATCTTTTCTCGCACACACGTATATACGTAGGCACACGCTTTCACACATCTTCTATCCGTCTGTTTTCTTTTTTTTATATGATGGGGTTTGTGTAAGACTATGCTAGGTAAAATTGCTATTATTTTTAATACTGTTTTGTTATTATTTTAAAGCTGGTTACTTGCTTGTTTTTGGCGATTGCGCATATGTAAATGGTAGAAACTATAATTTATAATGTTTATTAGTATTTATATGGTGGTATTAATTTTTCTGGGGTGAGTAAGTATAATTGTGGACTGATACGGTAATGCTAATTATGGTGTGGTGGTAATTGTGGATTAATGCGGCAATGGTAATTGTGATGCGGTAGTAGTGGTTGGTATTTTCTTTTATCCGTTTGGCATAAATTTTGATAATAGGTATTTGTTTTCATGTCTGCATTTGGAAATTATTTCTGATCTTATGTTTAGTAATTTCTTTTGTTGGGTATGAGAAATTATTGCTACCTTTTCGTGTAGGCAAATTAGGCATTTCTTTGTAATCTTGTTGTAGGCAGGTGCGTTTTTCAATATTTTCCAGCTTATTCTTGGTGTAATATTTCTGTATTTTAGATGTCATATGTATGTGGATAGTGTAG